TATAATTTACTAGCTCGACGGGACAACGTTAGCGCGGAATAAAGAAAACTTAAAAAGTAGCCTATGTGTTCTTTCAGACTACGTTATGCCAAATTTATTGAGCCAGTTTAAATATTTCTTTTACCGGAAATGTTTACAAATTTCCTAGTTTTTTTTTTGGTTATCGCTTTTAGATAGATTTGTGTACTTTGTTACATAATAGATTTGTACCTCGAACAAAGGTTGCTGTGACTTGACAGACTCTCCCTCCTTGACGAGCATCTTGATGATGGTGCCGTGCCCGGGCGCCATGACGGGCAGCGCCGTCTTGTCGGTCTCTATTTGCAGCACCTCCTCGTCCATCGCTACCGCGTCTCCTTCTTTTTTAATTAATCTGAAAAATTTAATTAAAAGACAACTTTTTATATATTACGATCTGTCGCCTGCAAACTACGTTAGCACGGAATTTAATGAAATGGTTGTCAGTTATATTTCCTTGTGCATCAGCTACATTACATCTAAATCCCGTTAATATCGGTCTATCCGTTCCAGGGATAGCGTTCCGGTCGCCACTTCGACAGCACGGAATTAAAAAAAAATAGCCTATAATTTGACGTCAATGTACCCTCCAGTGAAAGTACCGTCGAAATCGGCCCGGCGTTCAAACCAGGAACAGACGCGGCTTGCGAGTCGCCTTGAGCCACCAACGTTCCGAACGACGTGTCAACTACGCTTCCTTATTATATTTTTTTGAATCTCTTTTGTCTAACACTAATGAGTCACTATAACTATTTATAGGGTAATTATTATATTAGGTACGCTTAGTGTGTTTTTTTTATTTGAAATGGAAATACTGGCAGATTGTGTAACACTTACTTTATATCTCCAGAGGAAACGGAGTCAGGGAAGTTGGGTGCTTTGACAACTTCTTTGGCGCGTAATGCTGTCAGGGAGTGCACGTAGCGCTTCAAGCAACATGGTATTCTCCATTGACTAGTTCGTTGTAATCTATTGTGTAAAAAGCAATATTTGATTATGAAAAACTAGCTCGCGACTTCGTCCGCTTAAAATTAAATAGTAAAGCCTATGTTACTCACTGATACTATAGCTTTGTAATGATGAAAATTTTTAAAATCGACCCAGTGGTGTATGAGTTATTCCAATACATAAAAAATACATATCTCGCCTTAGTATAGATGAAGTAAAAAAAAACTTAATTAAAATTGACACCTGAATCTTCAAATCAGTTGACGACAGCTACAAAATAACATCAAAGGAGGGTATTAGGACAAAGATTTATCGTTTAATTTTTAATTTGTCTTGTATAAAATAATTTGAACAGTAGCTTCAAGCAATCATCTTCAACAATCCTCTACAGGCAAGTGGGTTTTATATATGTTTCTATTAAAATACTTACTTTGTACTCGGTCGCTGAATGGTCGATGTAGGTACAAATGATCCATGGAACACCTGTACCAAAGAGGCAATATTACAATTAACGCTACTTGATAAAGGTACAAGCGCGGAAGTCCGCGGTGTTCCATTTACGAAAAAATGGCCTTGCTCTTTTCAAAGAGACAACCTACGCCTCTTCTGACAAATGACCAATTAGGTGGCAGTGAGTTACGCAAACGATGGGATCATAATCCATAAGTTGAACACTGGTCGACTTTTTTTTCGTACAGACAAGTTTAGAGGTTGCGTAGCGAATATTGTTGCGTGTTCTCGACGCAATGTGTACAAAACGTACAAACTAGCTTTTAAGTTGGAACACCGCCATACATCCCGATTGTACTTGAAAATCACGACGAATAGCTGGCGAATCTACAAATTAAGAAACTACGTGGAGAAAGTTATTGTCAATTTTTTTAAAGAATTCATCATATAAATAATTAAAAATGGATCTAAGAAAGAATTTCAAATGATTCTATATCCTAGCACAGTCTACAATAGCGAGTTTATGCTTTGATATAATTTCGCATCAAAAGTTTTGCTTTTTGTCTTTTTTCTATTTTACTAACTACTTTTTATTAGTAATTTTAAATCGTAACTTACATTTCCAAAAAATAATCGTCTATACATATTATGATTTGTTAAAACAAAATATTTAAATAGTACAAAATGTCACAATGTCACATGACATAAATCAACATCACATCTCTACAGAGATCATTGGTCAACAGTAATTCTTTCTTCTTCATATTTAAAGTAAGAGAACGAAGGTTTTTATTTATTTTTAATATAGTTTTTTATAATTATATTCTACCTATATTCTCCTTGCTGAAGTCTTGTATTTTCTATTCGGTCGTTTTTTAAATAATTGTTTTTAAAACATAGTCATAAGTTTAGTTTTTAGGGACAGATCTACAAGTCCATACAAGACCAGTATTGTATGGATCTGAATATTGGGCTATCTAAGTTACGAATAAAAGGCGATTGCCGGTGCTTGAGATGCGTATGTTAAAATGGATGTGTGATGTATTATTGTTATGTTATAAACATTATCTAAATTGTAATAATGTTATAAAAAAATTTTTAAATATAATTTATAATTTCTCGCTCAAAACTTTTTATTCTACTCAACGATAGATGGCTCTCAATTTGGTAAGGTAACTCGCCGTTAGATGGCACTTCAAAGTGTCATTAAAAATAATTTTAATGGTTTCTGCATAAGTAATGAATCATTTAACTTTATCTTTGTATTACTACAAATGTATTAAATCAGTTAAAGCCTAAATATATTTACAATACATTTCCCAAATATGTTAAAAATGTACAAGATAATTGGGCGTCTTGTAAGACATAAGTGTTATAAAAATCTTTATTATAAAATGAAACATAACTTAGCAATATTGTACATTTAAGTTAAGATTGCCTCTGTCTGTCTTTTATGTATTTCTATACAACTGTCTTAGAATATTTCGACATTTACCTTTAGAGTATTGTACAAATGGATGTCTAATGAAAATACATGTAAAAGGAGATGTAAAGGGGTGAGGAGTACTAATCGAAGTTTTGAATAGTTGTGTGCGTAAGAGAGGGCTCTTTGACGGTACATTAGTGGTGGCCACTCAAGACGTCCACGACGACTCCTTGGTTATTTCATTTCAGGGTTGCCAACTATTGTTTTTACATCAATACTAATATTATTAAGAGGAAAGTTTTATATTTTTGGATTTTAGTATGAATTTGATTCACGCAAAAACTACAAGGCCGTTTTTTTAAATTCTCTCACTATTAAAAAGGTACTTTTTTATTTCACGCGGACGAAATCGCGAGCAACAGCTAGTAATTTATATCTTTTAAAGTTAGTTAGATTGACGATTTTATGTAATTATTTCATCACGTTACAAATTCACCCGTTTAGTGAATTAGAACGTCTTTACGTATAAATATATAGAAGTCTAGCTTTTCCTCGCGACTTTGTCGGCGCGAAATGAAAAAAAAGAAATTATTTCTTACATTAGTACGAAGTATAATTTCTCTTTTGTTTTCAAAATAAATTTGTTATATCTTACATTTAATTTATTTAATAAAGAAATCTATATAGTTATTCTTTGTACATTATTATGGTATTTATGAATGTCGCCAACCCTATGTGGGCAAGGGACGTACCCCACTAATTTGCTAAGATTCGTGCAGCCCGCATCTTTGATTAGGAATCTATGACGTCCCCAGACGACCTCTCTGTGCCCACTGCGCACTGAGACCCGACTAGACATTGCTCATTTCCTATGCTATTTTCTTGTATCAAAAAGGACTCTTTTATTTGTATATATAACGATTACCTTTCGCCCGCGACTCCGTTTGCCTGGAATTATAATAAAAAAGCCTATGTGTTCTTTCAGACATATCCGTTCATCAGTTTAGACTTCAAACTATAAAAACCATCTATCCTTCTAAAGTTTTGCATTTATAATCTTATTAGCTTTCTCTCGCGACTTCGTCCGCGTTAAATTAAAAAAATATAGACAGATAAATTACCTTTCTAACGATGGAAGAATTTTCAAAATCGGCCCATTGGTTTGTGAGTTATCAATACATACAAAAATACAAATCTTTCCTCTTTATCATATTAGTATAGACAAGATTTGTATTCAGGTATGATAGAAAATCCTTTGTATAATAGAAACTTGAGTGTCTCTATTAAGGCTGAATAACGGCAATGTAAGCGAGTTCGGTAACAAGTTAGGAAGTCTTAAAGCGATTAATACTTCAATATATTGTTCAGGTCTAGGATTAAGTGACCCACGCTTATAACGAAGAGACACGTTAATAAAAACTTGCAAATAAGTAAAATAAATATTCATCTATACTATACACTATAATCTATATTAATATAATAACCCATTACACGCACTACTTTGTGGCGTAGGATGTCAGCAATCACAGCAGATTTAAAAAAAAACATCTCTCTTTGATACAAAGCTCTATACTTACGACACGCTTTAGGCTATATGTTTTCACGCTATTAAACATAAGGGATAAATTAATTGGAAAAAAAAGTCTTAATGTGGGAAAGGGACCATAAACTATAAGCTGCTAACATTACGAAAGCAAGGTTATTATGGTAACGGTAATTTTGACATTTGCAATTGTGAATTTGACAAATATATAGAATAAAATAAAGTTTTTTACAGTTTCATGCGGATGAAGTCGCATGTAATAAATCTTCTAGTATTAATGTGATGTGGCATGATTGGTGCCTTATTGTGAATTAAATTTAGATGAGAAATAAATTAAAATTAGAATGAAATTATATACATCGGCTAAAAAGTTTCGTGTAAAACAACATTATATTAGCAGGCTTTAGTACAGATATCTTAATTATTTTTAATGATGCAAATATATAAAATTAAAATGTATGTTTGTTGATTATTTCGGATGAATAAAAAATGACTCAAACTGATTTTCACGATAAACGACGGGTAAATAGTTTTATACCATTAACGTGTTTTCGTCTTTTCAGACTGAAATGAAGAAGTTTATCAAGTTCAGCGTCGGAAGTAGCGTCAGCGGGCAAGTTGCGCCGTCTCAGGTAATAAGTAAGCCACTGTTTCAGCTTAAACGCTCCAACTTACCCGCAAACATTGGACCTTGCTACTTAGTGATGTACTCATTTCGATATCGATACTTTTATAGTTTATTAAACGGCTATTTCATCATGATATTTACGGACTCCGTTGAACTTGAGGAAGGAACAACTTCCTATGTGTTCTTTGGCATTTTATTTTTATGTCACAATTCTTTTGATAACAGTGACTTCTATTTGTGCAGTTGAACATTTTTATTGACACATTTTATTGGATTGCTAAAGAAGTAAATTTTGATTTGAAAATTGACATTTTCGCAAAGTTCATAAACACACTCTCGTTGAATACTTCAAAAAGTACTCAATAGTCTGCTTCTCAAGAGTTAATTATGTTTTTGGAATCTATATTGGATATAAGTGATATCGACATTTTGAATTAGCTGTGGTCACATCCCTTATTGTTTCAGCAAACTCCCGAACAGTCCTATACTTTCTTCGTTCGTAAGTCCGGTCTTTGGCAAGTTGTCGATTTATTGAACAAATAGTTGCCAGTATTTGCGGAGATTTATAGTTTGTCTTGGCCGTGGAGCATGGACGGACAATGCGCCAGTGGCGAAGCTGCCAGCTATGACAAATTGTTGCCAGTTACTTGAAATAGTTTTCATTGTTAATGTTTTATTAGTCATATCATTATTGTAATATTGATAAATGCAATTTACATTTGCTTTATTGATTATACCGTTTTCATTTTAGTTTTAATAAATAAAGAAATTAGTCGCTTAGAAATATCTGATTGTATTAAGGAACTTATTTCTTAGCTAGTTTCTAAGAAACTATTGTAATTAATTTAATTAGGATGATGTTATAATATTTTTATGATCTAGAAAGAGATGGATGGATTTCGTGAAAGGTGACATGATCAAAAAGTGATGACTGAGATGACGTATGATAGAGTTATGAGGAAGACAAAAACCTGTTGAGCCGACCCTACGGAAGTAGGATAAGGATGATGGTGATGGTGTTGATGATGATGATGATGATGATGATGATGATGATGATGATGTAATACTATGTTTATCTATACAGGGTTTAAAGGCATGATTAAAGTTATTACTTGATCAACTACTAACGCTATCCTGTTATATCGTCTATTCTAGAAGCTACCTTTAAGCCATTGTGTGACTTTGTTTTATTAATAATTGTGTTGTTATAAAATGCTAAGGTGTACTTTGCTACGGTTAAAGCTGTTTGTAAACTACCCTGGGATACCGGGATCAATCCTGGAGCAGTTATCTTTTTTTTAAAACGCTGTCGGTAAAAGTTTCGTAGTTTGTAGTAACAAGCCATTATAGTTGCAATGTTGTCAATCGACTAACGTTGCGTTAGTTTACATCAGTAGAAGTTACAAAAGTCTATTGATAACGTTAAAAATATCGCCTTTGTTGTGATAACATTTGAAAATTCCACCTTTAAAATATTTTAAAATCATAACAGTAGGTTTCTATTGCTTAAAAACCCGAGCATTTTTTTAATTAAACGAAGATAATGAAAGATTACATTTTGGCGAACATTATTAGTGAAAAATTTTCATAGTATTATAAAAAATTTAAACATTTTATTAGCATTGTACTGACTGATACTGACAAAAATTATTATCATATTTTTAGTTTTTACAAAAAAATAACTATTGCTTATTGAACATAATTTTTTTACAAATTATTTCCAGCCATAATTTCATGTATTTCGTGTCGGATGTAGGTTTGGAATAGGCAGTTTACTATATTTTTAATGTATATTAATTTTCCAACAACACACGTTAGTATTTCGTAAGTAGTTTCTACATAGACAAAGACTTGTAATCCGCGTCGCCAAATTTATTGCGCGACGGAAATCTTGCCTCCCCTCTCCCCGTCTCTCGCCCGCTCCTCTCCTCCCGCGGCGCTCACAATGGCTCCTGCATCCGCTTCCGGTGTACACTTGAGATTCTAATGTAATAAACTTCCTTCGCCTTAATTAATTACAACACACGTATATGTTATAGTATTAAAATTTCAGAATAAAAACAAATTCCTTCGATTTTTAAAAATCCGTGCAAAAATGTTTTGTTTTCCACCCCTTCCTTTTTAAAACCGGTGC